TGCGTTGCTACGGGCTCGTCACTGTTGCTATTCTTAGATAAAAATTCTATTTCAAAACTTCAACATTTTAAAATTTTGAAAAGTTCTTGCATTTTTTAGTTAAGAATGTTCAAAAATCGAAAAAAGGTGACTGGCTTTTGTTATGAGTTTCATTAGACACCGCCACACATCTCATTTCATTTGGATTTCTTAAACTTTTTACTCACTTTTGTGCACAACTTTTGTCGTTAGAATTTTTTTTAATAACGTTTGCTTTGATTTCTTAAATATGCTTTAAAATGGGTAATTATCTTTGAAAACTCCTTTTTATCACTTTTCTATCGTTTATACTCATTCACTTTTTTTATGTATTTTTTTAATATTTTTTCCAGTCCCAATACTTTAGAAACGATCCCACAAGCACCCGTTCACTTCGAAAAGAATTTTCACATTGTCGCCGCGAATCGAGCGCGAACTTATTACTCGGCTTTCCGAAACATGCTTTTGCCACAATTGAGTTAATTTGCATATAAATAGAATTGGTTACGTTGCGTACTCGTAACGCTGCAGCATTTAGCGGCGAATTTCGGAAACACCAAAAGTTGCATGCGGCCGGCCGGTTTGGTGAGCGTTATTAGTCGATCGAAAGAGCAGTGCACAGTGGTTTATGTATAAGTGGAAATAAGTAAAAATTTTATAGGTCTTCAGATCTTTCATGGAATAGGGGTTGAATTCTATTGTACCACCACAACTTTGTTTTAAGAAGTATAAGCCTTAAAAATTTTACCAGCTGCGTTGAACTGCGGTTTTCTTTTTATCGGCTTTATGGCATTTTTAATGCGTTTTATAGGTTTGGTTTGTATGGCGGGTATGCCACCAGGTCCATTTTTCGTTGCTTTCTTCATTTAACAAACAGATTGTAGAATCCCTACGCCAACTCCTTCTAAACCTGAGCCTTGGGCTTTGATTGCCGCCTGGCTGTCTGAGTATATATTAATTTCCCTTACCGTAATTTTTCGTCTTCCGGACCACTGTAGTGTCTTTCAGGCGGAACTGATGGAAATCGACCGAGCCACAAAACTGGTCAAGTGTGATATGATATCCCAAGCTGATATCTATATCTTCAATGACAGCCAGGTTTTTTAATCAAATCCCTTATGAAACAGTTGACAACCTCCATGGTAGCCGTGAAATGTCACACATCTCTTAACGGAATTACTGAGTAATTTCGCCCAAAAGATGATATGGGTTCCGGGACACTGCGACATTGAAGGGAACTGCAAAGCCGATGAACTGGTGCGACTTGGCACCAAACTCCCTATGAGGATATAAACGATGATATGGAAATGTCCTTACAAACTTGCAAGCTACTTATCTTCGAGAGGTTCACTAAAGTGTAGAACAACAGATGGCATGACAAAATCTCCTGTAAAACTGCCAGGAAACTATGCCCAACGTTCAGCGCTAAACGCACTGACCCAATACTGAGCTTAAATACGCAAATATCATTTTTTTTTAGTATCTGTTATAACAGCACACCGTCTAATTGGCAGGCATGCCTATCCACTAGGCGTGCGGCTACATGACTTCTGTAAAAGTTGTCAAGATGAAGAAGAGGAGGAAACGATTTTGCACCTGTTATGCCAGTGCCCTGCTCTATTCAGACGAAAACTCTCCACACTGGGCAGACAATTCTTCGATCACCTGGAGGACCTTAGATGCGTTGAAACCAAGGGTCTTCTAAAATTCCTACGAAGCTCAAAATGGTTTTAGGAGGGATTTAGAGCTACTGACTCCACATGCGGTATCACAATGGGCCCAGAGCCTAAGTGTGTCTTACAGGCAACCGCGGCAGCCAATCGAATGCTTCCCTAATGTTTGAAACATATTAAAAACTACAAACCCCAGGCCTCAATTGTGAATTTTGTTTTTAATCCGTACTCTTATGTAGATAATTATTTTGTGAGCGACAAAGCTACACCGCGACTGTGGCTGTGGCCAGATTAGATCTATGTATGTCTATTTTTCGAACGACAGATAAGGTTCTTCCTCTCCTTTTGTGTCAAAATTACAAATTCATCAAAAATCATGTCGCCATCAAAAAAACGTTTAGATATAGAAGAAAAACATTGATCAATGTGTTTCAAATATGTATATTTAACTTAGAACACACTACAGTGATGTAAACATAGAAGCCTAAACTTAAAGTAGATGGAGAGCTTCCTGGAAAATACCTCTCCACATTCATGTAAAAATTCATTAGTGTCCACTTCTAACCACAGCTTCCCTAAATAAAATGTGCGTAAAGCAGGAGTTGACGGGAGATTAGCCCCACAGTGAAACGTATTTTCAGGGATGAAATCGAATCCTCAAAATTGTTTATGTATTGAAGTCAGTTCGGTAACTGGTGTAGCTAAGGCTAAGGCGAAGAAGCTGGAAAATGCATTTGAAGCAAGTATTTCTCGCTAATGTTTCTAGTAAAGGTGCCAACTTACCTCCTCAGGCTTTTACGATGGCTTTTACGATTTTAAATTCGATTTTTTTTTTTGGAGTGTTTAATGGGAAATGAGCTGAAGAGTAGACCTAATTCACCACTTTCTATGTCGCCGCCTACGTTCCCAGGTCATGGGACTCTAACTGTTTTGGGTTCCCAAAGCTCTTCATACGAAAAAAATTTTCGTTGTTGTAGGTATTAATGTACTCGTACTTTACGAAAAAATGGCACTGAAGATGGCGCAACGCCGAGTCTGTTTTATTCACCTAACCATATTAGACAGGGGATGGCGAAAATGAGTTCCAAAAAAGTCATACTCCCATCCCGTCGGAAGAAACAACCAACACCAATGCACTTCTGTCATTAACGGGATCTCTAAACCTCCACAAGTTTGCATGCAGGCCATTTTAGCAAAAAAAAACTGTTTGAAACTTATTTTGAATCTGAAAACAATCCAAGAAAATTTTTACAGTACAAAAAATCGAGTCCACAACAACAAATTTATAGGTATTTATTTGTATTTCATTATTTTTAGCATACACTCGCTAACATAGAAACCATGAGAGTATTCTTAAAGACTTCTAATCATTGTGTAATCAAATACATATTTGGGGTATTCACAACGGCGTTGTATGTCGTAAACTTTAAACGCCTAAAAATTATATTAAGGGATTTCGCGCAAAGTACCATCAAAGTTATATTTTGAATTTTTTCAGTGTTAAAAAATAGTTGGTTGTCGTTTCAAATTCTCTAAATATTTATTTATGCTTTTAAAGTTTACGACATACAACAATACGACACTTACGGCACCGTTATGAATCCCTCAAATATAAACAGGTCTTCGGCTAACTAAATACCATGAAAGAAAATATTAAAAAGAACAACGAAAAGCAGAAACAAAAGGCAATTATGATTTGAGGTCCTGCAACGCTAACCACGAAAACCGCTTTCTCAACGCAGCAGTGGGTCCTGTCGCCGACAAATGTTAGTGACTATGAATGTAGTATGTATATACAAGTTCACACATTGCAATGCCAACAATCAACAGCCAACACTTCCATAACAGTTAGGATTTTGTATTTCGCCTTGGTTTGCTAGCTCAGGGACAATTAAAAGTTAAGCCGTCCACTTTAACGGTCAATTGTGCATCGAACGTGGCCCGGAGCAGTTTATCGCAAGAAAGCTTTCAAGATTCACGAATTTCAAGACAAAGTACCATATGCAGGAATTTTCAAAAAATTGTGAAAAGTGAAAAGTTTGTTTCAATTATTTTCTGAAATTGAAAATAAATTACTAAAGGTGTAAAGAGAATTTGTTTGCAAGTTAAAAAATTAATTAATTTTTAATTAACATGTTGCTATGGAAAGTATGCTCATTCATTTGCTTGCTGTGTATACATTCTACATTTCAAATTGAGCTGGATAATAACTATTTAAATGTGAGAATAATGAGTGCTACTTAAATTTTTTAGATATCGAAATGTGGGAACAAATATAGGACTTTTTGGTATAAAAGTTTATGGAAAAAACTAATTTTGTAATCAGAAAATACAGTTACCGAAAAATATTCAGAACAGCCAAAAACACCAAATGAATTTTATGAGGAGCAGGGATCGAAACTACATAGGTCCTACGGAGTGATAGTATGCTACGCACCCCTTATAACTAATCCACAGCGGCCGGTATTTAATAATAATAATAGATTGGCGCTTACACATATGTTAGTGTTTGGCCGAGCTTCTCCTCCGATTTGTGGCGTGCGCCTTGATGTTGTCACACAGAGCGGAGGGACCTACAGTTTTACGCCGACTCCGAACGGCGATTGTATTTTTACGAGAAGCTTCTTTTCATGGCCGAGGGACGACCGCTGTTAAGAAAAAACCTTTTTCTGTACTTTTTGCGATGTTGCTTTGACCTGGGCTTGAACCCAGGCGTTGCGGAGTGGAAGCGCGCACAGCTTACCACTACACCACAGCGGCCGGTATTTAGGAGTTGCTAAATAATAATAACCCTATGTAGGGGGCAGGAGCTTATATAGAGAAAAAATGTTTTTAATTAATTTTTAATTTTTTTGTGTATTTAATAGAAATTTTTGGGTTTAAAAAAGTATGAGTTTTCTGTTGTCATTTACAACGATACCAATTTTTTAAAAATCGTGTTGTAACTTTTTTGTTTAAAATATTTTTTTTTAAAAAAATGTATTTCTGGCTTTTAAGTATTTTTTTCTGAAATTTTTATATACGAAGTATACAAATGTGCACCAGAAGAAAGGGAGTTTAATCGCATTTACAACGATACCAAATTTGACAAAATCGGTTTGTTTTTTTTCTATGTTACATTTTTTTTTATAAAAAAGGTACTTTATCCTTTTAAGTGTTTTTTCTCAAATTTTTTATACAAGGTATACAGAAAAAGGAAGAAGAAAGGTATCAGAAGAAGGTTTGATTGCGTTTACAACGATATCAATTTATTGAAAATGGGTTAGTAATTTTTTTATTTAAAATATTTTGTGGTAAAGAAAAGGTATTTTTTCCTTTCAAAAGTTTTATCTCAAATTTTTACATACGAAGTTTAATCTCGTTTACAACGATACTAATTTTTTAAAAATCATTTCAAGATTGTTTGCAATGTAAGGTTTTTAATTTTTCGAACACCCGACTTTTGACCCCTCGTAGCACCTGTAATATGAGTTTGCACAAAAAAGTTATGTACAATTTAAATAAGACCAAAAGGCGGACTACGTCTATATTTGTAGCTTTTTAGATATTTACATATACTAATAAAAAATAATTGTTTACCAAAGTTCCTATTTCGAACTTTAAAGGCCCATATCTCGATTTCGGAGGCTAACTTCGAACCTTTCACTCAATCTCCTAAAAAAATTGGTTTGGTCCAATTCCCAGCCGAGTGGTGTACAGTGTTATGATTAGCTTTCGCTTAGTGCTTGACCGAGCTTCTCCTCCAATTTATGGTGTGCGTTCTGATTTTAGAGGCAAATGGATTAAATGGGAAGCTTTTTCAAGACAGAATTACACTCGGATGTTTGCCATTGCCTGCTGAGGGCGGTGGCTGTTAGAAAAAAAAACGTGTTTTTTTATTTGAATGCTGCTCGGACCATGGATCGACCTCAGTCCTACGGAGTGGTAGTATGCACCTCTAACGATTCAGCAACAGCGGCTAGATTTCTAGGAAATGGTTTAGGAAAAGAAGCAATAGCACGGTTCACAAAAATTTGGAGATTTGTGATCTCGAAAACGGGACCTACCTCAGCTTACAACATTTTTGGTACTCATTGCAAATCCGTCTAGATTTTTTAGCAAGTCTAGTTTTAGAGAAAAAACTATTGTAGTGTCCAAAATGACAAATTTCAAATCTTAAAAAAAAAATTAATTTGGACATAGTGTTTCCTAAGAAACAAACAACCTGTTAAAAAAAAAAAAAAAGCAATTCTTCTGATGGATTCTACCTCATTTCGATGAGTTGAGTAGAAATGCGTAAAAAAAAATCTTGTTTTCTAGATCAAACTCGTCTAAATTTGATTGAACTGATTTGTGATTTTCGGGATTTTTCGAAACTTTTCAAGAATTTGTTGCGATGTTGGTTGTGGCGTTTCCGACGGAGTAAGGAGTATGATGTAATGTGGTGAGATAAAGAAAACCGTTTCACAATACATAGTTTTCTTCGCAGATTTTGTAATTTTTTTCAAAGCTTATTCACTCAAAGTTTATATTTACAATGATTTTGAGACGAAAAATTATAATATTATGAATTTTTGAAAAATAGGCGCAGCCGCGCCCACTTATGACTACATGTGTATATCTTGGTAACTGCTCAACCAATTTTCTCAAACTTGGCATAGTTGGTGGCCTTCGTAAAACATACCAAATTGTTGCAAATTTAAAAAATCGGCCAATAACCACGCCCACATCCCTTATAACGGTAATTTAGAGAAATACGAAGTCTTCGATAAATCAGTAAATACGGAAGCTAATTTATTCAAAATTGCTGTTTGCAATAATTCATTAGCAAAAAATACGTTTATGATAAAATTCAGGAAAATGGGCGTGACACCGCCTACTTATGACCACATATGTGTATCTCGGTAACCGTTTGACCAATTTATACCAAAACCGGTATGATTGTCGTGCTTGCCACGTATAAGCAAAACTTTGAAAATTACTGAAATCGGACTAAAATTACACCCACTTTTCACATAACGGTAAATTTCAGAAATGCTAGAAACTTCGAAACTTAAGGACGCTAATTTACTCAAAATTTATACCAACAAAAATCCCTTCAAAAAAGTAGCATTATTATAGAATTTCGGAGAATGGGCGTGGCACCGCCCACATATAACTATATAAGTTTATCACATCTAACGTAACTTCCTGTCGAAGATGTTTGAAATATGGGTAAAACCACCCCTGCTTACCATGTAGAGGCAGCATCAAGCTCAAGTCTCGGAGTCCACGCATATAACAAGGTGTCGGTAACGTCGAAACGATGTTTAACCGGAGATTAGAGTCAACCAGGCTTTGAGTAGATAGACCTAATACATCCAACCCGAATCGTGAGTCAGACGCACCGAGTATGACGCCTATTATAATTCTGGTTATTAATAAACTTTTTCATCTACGTGAAATTTGCTACTTTGGTTCAAATCAGAATTTATGACACCAAAAATACGGAAATGAGCCAGTTTGGTTGACTGCCCCCAAAATTATATTTATGGCGAAAGAAAGACTCATACATTCTGAGCGCTCATAAAATTGTTTAAAGGGTACTTTTTAATTGTACTTTTTCTTTTACAGCACAAATTAAGTGGCGTCATTCAATGGAAGTATGAGAAGCGGCCGTTTTGTAATGCTTTTACAGGTATGTACTTGTATATTCTATAACTCTGAAAAGGTATAAAATATTTTTTATGTATAAATGCTAGGTTCTGTTTTCGCAGTGAAAAATTGACTTATGTATATACATATGTATGCATATTAGGGTGGTCCAAATTAATTAAAGCCGGAATATTAATGCTCTCACCCCAAGGATTGTTCTATATCGGAAAAAATATACCTCTATATATTTTTTTTAATAAAATATTTTTTAGAGGTCGCTTAAAGCGCTCAAAGTATTCCATGTATTTTATATGGGGGAAAAACAACTTTTCGTAGAAATGTTATACAATTCTTGAAAATCAATATTTTTCAATCGGAAAACTCTGGTTCTCTTTAGGAGACTTCCAATGCCAATATCCAATTTCTTATTTATCCATTTTTTAATACTAAAGATTTTTAATTTATCCTTCCAATGCATATCCTTCTGACGTCATAACAAATGCCGACTATTCACCCAAATTTCAAACTTTTTAACCAGAGCCTTTAGAAAAAATTGTGGTATGCAGTTTGATTTTAGAGAATTTTTTTGGTTGAAGGTGTTTCCATACAAGTATCTTCGAAAATTTTCTTTTATATGGAGGGCACTGCCAGCAAAAAAAAAAATTGCCAAAAATCAACGGTATTTTTTTAGCAGCTTGAAATTTACACTTCATTATATAATAATAAAATGGGCTACAAAACTGCATACCACATTTTTTTCAAAAGATTCGCGAAATTTTTATAACTGTAAGGGCCGTGGGTGCCGAGGCGCGAATACGCTGACTGATTAAAATTAGAGAAATTCTAGTATATTTTGCAACTTTTAATGATAGACAAGGCCTTTACCACCCGTCATACCTTGTTCTTTTTAAAGATGAAGCCCGTTTGATGCCGTGAGGATGCGTGTTTCGAACAAAACGTAATCAGGTCTGACTCGGGCACTGCTATAAAAAGTGTGCTTCAAAGAGACAGTTATTTTAGCGGGTGTCTCTCCTTTGAATCCTAGGTCTTCCTTACCTTTGGTAACCCCTAATAAAATGTCAACGACCAAACAGAAATTTGTAGTCTAAAAAGCAAAAAGATTTTATCAGACTGAAATTATTCACCTATTTTTAGTTTACTCTCTTCATTTACTAATAATTATTAAATACTTTTTAAGTTAGGTCTACTGAAAACAAGTATTCCTTTTCACTGATTGTTTATTTTTTTACATTTACTTAATTCAAAGGTTGCGGCAAGAAACGGTCATCTCTTCCACCTTATCCCTTATGGAAACGCGCCGATATTGATGAAGCAAAAGCGTACAACAGCGATGATGTGGCCGAAGGACTAAGTGATCTCATCGATATAAATGCTGAACCGGCTGTGGAAAATGTACAAAAACAAATTATGTCCCAGGCTAAGATATTTGAAGCCATTAAAGAGGCCAGCAAGGAAATATTCCGCCAGAAGAATAGACAAAGAATGAGGCAACTTGAAGAGAATCAAGATACAGTTGAAGGAGTTTAGGCAACAAAAAAGAAAAGGAATGAAAATGACAAGAACAAAAAGATATAGAAAGTGTTAACGCATATAGAAAAGAAGCTATAGTAATAAAAACTCTTTGAAAAAAGTAATAAAACTAAAACTAATAAAAAAATTACAAATGCATGTAGCGTTACTACGCCTATGTAGTTAGTAAAAACAGTTCAGCTCGAATTACTCCATATTTTCAGAATCATTATAATTTGGCTCTCAAAGGGCCTTGGCTCAAATTAAAGGTCTTGAATAGCACTAAAAGACACTTCGTGTTCGAAGGATATAGAATTGTGTGAGGGATGCACAGCTGCAAGCAAATAAAAAAATGCAATAAATAATACATTTTTTAAATTGATTGGTACAGTGCAATCGTATTGCTCGTCTAAAAATCTATAATATTAGTGTAATAAGAAATATAAAAAATTTCTTTTTAATAAATGCAGTGGATTCTGCATGTTTTTTTTTTTTTTTGAAGACCACTATTTTTTGCCAATTGTTTTAAGGTCACGGAGTAATTGTGGTCCAATGGTAATATTCTTCCGTATAAAATTTTTGATTCTTATTCAGTAAATTTAAGTAAAATTACCACATCATATGATAATTTTACTTTTACAGCTTCTGACTGTCATTCAAATCGCAGCGCACGACGTCCAGATATTTATGTCTGCGTATTCTCTGAGTAGCGACCAAACATCCTTTTGGGAGCGAACTAAATTGCGAAGGCGTAAAACCTCGCCATTTGCCACGTAACGCAGCGCAAATTCGGAGTTGCATTTGTGGTGGGAGGCGTTCACCCCGATGGTCGAACGTCTAGCCACAATCCGCATTAAAGCGATATTCTTAAACATCTCGCTCATATTTGCCAATGCCCCCATGGGAGAGAAGGACGAGGTGCCCAAGGATATCTTCTATGAACGCTTGGAGCTTGCATATGAGGGCTGTCGCCTACATGATATCAAAATCATGCTTGGCGATTTCAATGCCAAGGTGGGCAAGGACGGAACCTTTGGCGCCACTGTCGCAAAAATTCAGCCTCCACAACGAAACGTCCGATAACGAACTGAGGCTGATCGACTTCGCCGGGGCCCGAAACATGATATTATGTAGTACTAGGTTCCGGCTTAAAGATCATCATCAAGCTATACGTCACGTCGACCATGTTGTTATAGACGTAAGGCGCGCTTACAGTATTTTGGATATACGTAAACTCCGAGGGCCAAACATCGACTCGGACCACTATCTTGTTGCATCCAAGATAGCACCCGCCTCTGTGCAGCAAAAAACTTGCGCCCAACAATGCAAGCAAAGCTTAACGTCGAAAAACCAATCACAACAAACGGCCAATTTATTCGCCGTCCGATTTTCCCACATCTTCTCTCTGAGAGCGCTCTTCAACAAACCGACATACGCAAGCAGTGGAAACACATTTCTCGCTCATTAAGTACCGCCGCCGAGGAAGAGAGAGGCCGAGATACCTGAGTGCGAAGAGCTGGAAATGCTGGCTGACAGGACAAACGCCTGAAAATTTTATCAGAGAGTTAGGCAACTTACGAAAGGTTTCAAGACCAGGGCCAACCCTGTAGGAACCAAGAGACCGATGTCCAGAACGTACTTAAGTTATGGAGGGAACACTTTTCCACGCTATTGAAATGAAGCAGCACTGAAAGTAGTGGAGAAGCGAACCCGAGCTTCCACACCTTCATTGGGATTAAGGCCGTTTCTAATGAAAAATTTTGTGGAAAATCCACAATAATTTACACATGGTAGAAGATATAGTACACATCTCTTCTCCTTGACTTATTCCTTTTGGTAATTAACCGATTCATAAATAACTAAACAAAAATTTTCAAAAGCGCAATCAAACCATAATGGCTTTATTTCTATTGATAGTTGGAATTAAGGCGATATCGAAATTATGGTTTTATTTCCAATCGCCATTATCGCCTTATTGCGAATGGTGTTATAGCACCCCACCGTAGCATGCAGCGTTCTAATATTTGTTTTATAAAATACTTTAATTGCGATCTTTTGATGAAGATTGATTTAAGAAGTCTAATGACGTGGGACTCCGTTAGGAATACACTTGGGAGTCTGCCCAAGACAACTGAAGTCTTTGATTTTAGCCTAACGATGCCCGCTACAATGCCTATAAAAAGTGTCAATAAAGATTATATTGAAGTCATATACAATTTTAACTTGATCCGGATCAACTAGTTAATTCGGAATTATCGCGGGAATTAACTGCAGTTGATCCGGATTAAGTCCTGCAGCTTATCCTCAAAATTAACGCGGATCAGGGAAATTTTCGATGACAACTCTGGCCAAAACGGGCAGCTTTTGTCGATTGCGCATAAGCAAATATAGTAAGCGAGTTTTGCATCCGCGGTAGCCGATTGGTGAGAGCGGCATACTACAATTCCGTAGGACCCAGATTCGATCCTCGAATTTATTTATTATTTATTTATTAGTTTATTTGGACTTAAAAAATTAAAACGATGTTAATAATAAAAATGTAGGTACATATGTATATATACTCATGTACAAAAATATACTTATCTAAGAATTACTAAAATGTTATTCATTTAAATATTTTGTTACATGCAGCAATACTTTCAATAATCTTAGCACCAAGGAAATTACATTCAAGTTTCAGAATCTTATGCCTACTATCAATTTTGGACCTGGGCTTTCTTCGATAGCCGTACTTTGACGCCACCTTTCGGTTGAATACCCACGGAGTGGTTATCGATAATAATTTCTCGTCTACTCATAATTTCAATATTGAAGTTTTGTAAAACTTTTACAATGCCCAACTTCGAGTTGATCATGCCCATACGCAGAGCAATACACTGACGTGGGCCAGCGCCGAACGGCATGTAAGCGTTGGCATTATAATTTGGACTTCCAGGCAAAAAGCGATCCGGGTCGTATGTCATCGGATTCGGAAAGTATTGTGGGTCACGATGAATACCGAGCAGCGGTATAACAATGGGTATGCCTTTCTCGATGACATGACTGGTGCCGGGTATGGTGTAGTCTTGTGTACATTCACGATTCAAGAAGGGCAACGGATATTTCCGATTGGTTTCTGCAAAAGGGGGAAAAAATAAAAACATGTCAACAATTTTCTTTTTTGGTTTTGTTTTCCATTATCAATTACCTTGTAAACATAATTCGAGAAAAGACATTTCACGCAAGGCATCATAGCTCAACTGACCGTTGTGGCGTTCCAGCACTTCATCCACTTCCTTCTTGGCGCGTGCCAACAGGTCTGGGTATTGCGCCAATTCGAAGATGGTGAAAGCAGCTGAAGAGCTAGTAGTCTCCTGACCAGCAATATAGAAAATGAAACCCTGCGCACCAATGTGGTCGATAGTGAATTCGTTTTGTTCGCCAGTGGCTATGGGAAAGGGAATGTATAGGCAAGGTCTAAGATACGGATACATATATACTATATGGGACATGATTTCAAGCGTTTCATACCTGCATTGGGGTTTGTGCTCCAATTTTCATCATCCTCGGTGATTTTGCCCGTGTTCCGTAGCTGCATCATCAATTGCAACATATCTTTGCGTACTATATTGTGTTTCTCACGATATTCAATTGTCTCTTTCATAATGTCACGCAAACCAACGGCTGTGTAGTTTTTTAGACCCAAGCGAAACATGAATTTGATGATGCTGTCAAGTGCATGTAGGGAAGAAAAAGAAGTTAAGTAGTTGCTCTACAAGGATATTTTCAATTGAAAACTAGTGTTAAGATTTACATTGAACCCGATTTTCTACATATATGCATATTTACAGCCAGGGTAACTTATCTACATATACCCCCAAAGAACTCGCTGTTGAGTTTATGGCTATCAGGTAAATAACTCCTTACAACATTCAGGGTATTAAACCTAAGGCAGGATGTTGAGGAATAAGAGGAACTTTGGACAAATGCTCGTCCGAAGCTCTGAATGAAATTCTGGCTAAGACTTGTAAATCTTTTGTAAGACAATTGAAAGACAGTAGGTCGGTTTGAAAGACTTTCATTATTCTGGCTTTCTGACTTTCATGTCTTACAAAAAAACTATCTTGCAGTCGCAATGGCCGAGTCAGAAAAACATTCGAAGATTCGAAAGATCCAAGTTTTTCGAGATCTCGGGCAGTGTATTTTTAAATTTTTTCTTTCGTTTTTTTGTTTAATTTTCTTCGAATTATTAGATGTTATTGTTGTAAAATTTCTTAGAAAACAATATTTTTTATGTTTCTTTTTTTAATTTCACTTTTGGATTTTATAGTTGTAAAAATAAAAATATATCTAGATATCATCACTTGAAATGCAAAGTCATAACTAATAAAAAAATTCAAAATTCACTTTTTGATTTATATGATGGATTTCATTGACTTACAACTATCCACATCATTTTATGAAAAAATAATTAAAATATTAGTCACAACTTTTTCCATTTCATTTACGATGTTGTTACGTGTTTTTGCATTTCTGGTGACGATACATATATTTTTTTAAATTTTTGTTAGTTTTATATATTTTTTTTTTGATTTCTTTTAATTTTTAGATTATATTTTTCTAAAAAGAAACGTGTTTTTATTTTTTTTTTATTTTTTAGAAATTTATTTTAAATTTTTTAATAATTATAATTTTTTTATTTAATTTTCATTTAATTTTTAGATGTTATGGCTCTAAAAAGAAATATATTCGCTTTTAAATCACTTAACTTTTGGAAAGTTTAATAATATATGTATGTACATATATTTTTTGAACTCGCAGGCCTGCGAAATTTACATATGTAACAAGTATACATATTTTAGAACTTTTAGCAATTTGCATGGAAAGAAGAAAATTAATAAACTTACAATTGAATTTTTTACTTCACAACAAAAAAAAACCGCCGACTGGAATATAAAAATCTAGGAGTGCCGGAAATTTCTACATGATCCAATGAGCGGATCTAACAAAAAATATATATATATATATCGAAATGAGTACACTTGATCCAATGTTTTGCTCTGACATACATAAACAAATATTCATAAGAATTAATAACCTCGTTCTTTTTGAAAATTCAATTATAAATTAATTTTTGTATTTTCATGCTAACAACTATCGATGTGCTTGAGAAAACTCAAAGATGTATAATCTAATTTACCACACCTAGATATTCCAAAAAAATAACATAATTATTGGAGGGGGTAAAAAGTTAAATTTCGCAGGCCTGTGTTTTTAGAAAACTTATTGCTAAAGGACTAACAGAATACGGCAAATACCCCCAAGTTAGCAGATCTTTCAATTTTGCTTTGGAAGGCAGAAAAAAGAGCTTACAAGAAAAGGGCTTACGAATGTCTTTTAAAAATGGCTGGTATTACTGATATGGAAGTTCTTACCCTCCAAAAAGTACAGTGTAAGGAGTCACGCCAGATAAAAAAAAAACCCAGCCCTAATACATATATTATTAATTTTATTATCAGCTACATATCATATAAGTACTTACGACGGGCACAAGAATATAAACATTGCAAAATTGGCACTGAACAAATTGTTACGGCGCGCTTTGTGTACAAGGGTTCTGAATTTATTCTTGGGATCTTCAAAGCTGTTGATTTCCAAACCAAAGATAACAGAACCGATAATATCAATGGCATAGCTGTGGAATAAATAGATAAGCATAAAATCAATTCGTAGTTATTTCTTTGTTATTTGTATGACTCAGAGAGTAACGAGTAGTACGTAGACTCATTTTGGACTCATACTCACGTCACAAATACATCTTTCAAGTCCAACTCCGCGCTACCCTCCTCCGGCAGCACTTTATTCAGATGTGCAACCATTTTATTGCCAATGTCGTCGGAAGTGTGAAACATTGCCTTCAATTTGCCCGAACTGAAGGAAGGTGTAAGCTTCTGACGCAACGAGCGCCAACTTTGACCGCGTAAACCAAATAAACTGCATGACAAGGGATCACGCTTCTCGTCCACATAAATGCCACGATCGTGAAAACTACTAAAATCTTGTATAAGTATTTGTCGCGCCAATTCGGGATCGCGTATTAGCACCGCCGGTCGAAAAAGTAAATAAACGCCCACGAATGGTGAATTTGACTTTAAGTAGGCGTCATAAATTGCCACGCCCATAGATTTTTCATGTTTCACCACCGATTTCAAACAACCGCAAGGTATTTGCATATCGGTGGGATCGGTGGGAAAATTACGACGATTCCAATAAGAATACTGCTGTCTGATCAACCAGAAAAGTATTGTAACCAGCAGTAGACCAAGGAGTAGCACAATCATTTTCACTTAAATGTGTTAACGTAATTACATATGTTATTGTTGCACTTTGAACAACAAGTATTTAAATGTTTATAATATACATATATGTAAGTCGTATATGAACCGGTATAAGAGTGAACGCAATATTGACTACTATTACGCTACTTTTCTACGTCCTATTTGGCGTATGGCCTGCAGTAAACTGATTTTTGGTTGGGTAGCTGCACTGCTGAATTCATGAAAAAAAAACCCAAACAAAGGGGAGAAACGATCCCTGCAGCAATAAGGCAGCCAATTTTCCGTAAAGGACTAGTACTGCACTGGTTAAAATTTGACTGGTCAGAATTGGACATTTGCTTGCATCGAAAATGTCAGCCTTCGACCAGTCAGTCCCCAAGGAACCGGCCTAGAGATAGACGAACAGTTTGGCAGTGACAGGGTGGTGTTGTCTTGCAATTCAATAAAAAAAATTTAAAGAACACTACCCTGTAAATATATATATTTTTTTGTGTGTTTCCGAATTATAAAAAAGCTTCCGCGAAGTGCAGAACGCAATCTTACTCCAACGAAAAAAATCTCCAAAATTGGACTAGTCCAGGGGATTTATGCTGTAACTGTGAGTTTTCATCTGTACACTGAAAATTGTGTACACTTCTTCATTTTGCGATTCTGGAAGAGTGAGAATGAGTTTTAACTGTCAAAATTGTGTACACTTCTCTTCCGAAAAATTCACTGAATTTTAGTCGGTGAGTTTTTGGTTGTGAGTTTTGCACTCGGTGTACACTATATTTTCTCACAGTTACAGAGTAGAGCCCCAGGACTATCTTACGGTCAGTGTTGATTGGACCGGTCCTTTTCCAATGACACGCCAATGCTAAAATGGCAGTTGAAACTATTGGCAGGGGAATTATGAGGGACTAGTGCTGGTAACAATAGAGACTATCTGAGGGCTAACCTAGGGTGAGTCTGAATTGCTGCAGGGATCACACAGTGACGTTATCTTGTACATATTTACACTTGCATAAATATCTCCATATGTACGTAGCAGTAGTATATGTTATGTCTCTTATCAACAAACAAGGCGGTTTTTATCTCTCTGACTTTTATTTAAAACTTAACTAAATGATTTCATGGTTA